CTACAGAAGTATTACAAATATACGAAAATCGAGTCATCCTTTAAAAAACTAGGAATNTTACACACTATTTCTATATATGTCTTTTCTATATATCACAGAGTATCAGAAAATGACGAGTCGTAATTTTAACATTCAAACGCGGATAATTCTGGACACATGGATTTAAACGCTCAAATTTCGACGGTGAACTGTAATTGTAAACACTATCACTGATTGGCTTACCCAAAAAGTTCCCATTTCTGAGATTAAAGTATGATTTGCCACATAAATGGAGCATTTCTCCCTTTAAAATTCGTCAGCCAAGTCACTATTTTTATGTTGGTACGTTCCTATTTGTAGATGCTGCTGTATATGTTGATCAGCTATGACAGATATGGATCCAGTCTTACTCTTCTAGACATCTGTTACCCCCTTTCATTATGAAATCCTTACTTATTTACTTCTCATATGAAAAGTTCATAAGCTGCTACCGATGTTTCGCCAGTATGTTGTTTGTATTTCAGGTTTTGTTTTGCTGCTCTCTTATTTATTTTCATCTGTTTTTGTTCCTAGGTCTTTGGAGCAGGAATCCAAAGAAAGTTAATTATTGGTATTTGCTTCTTGGTATAGAGAGAACAGTTCTCAAATATTTTCGCAAAAAGCTTTTTCTGTGTCATATTTTCAGTAATTGATGTTTCAGGTTGCTTAATTAACCGAATAAAATATATTTATATTGATATTGATGTACTTTAAAGGGACGATTCATTTTTTGGGGGTTGATTTGAGTCTTGAATATATGTAAATAGTCTTCAGAATACTAGAAATGTACGAAAATATCATGATTCATTCAAAAATATCTCAAACTAGAAATTTCTTTTCCTATTTCTATAGGATGTCTTTTCTTTATATGACAGTGCCTCAAAAAGACGACTAGTCTTTTTAATTTAAAACGCAGAGAATTCTGGACAAACATGGATTTGAAGGCTCAAATGTCGACGGTGATCTATGATCATAATATTTCCTGATCATGACAAATTTTCCCTATTTTATGTTCATGACAAGTTTTTCTTTTTTCCTGTTCATGACAAGTTTGTCATATTTCCTGTTCAGCAACAGTTTCCCTATTTCTATTTCTTCAAAGATATGAAAAGAAATAGCTTTATTGTATATGATACACCATGAACCTCAAAAAATTCATACCAGGTCAAATTGTACATAACAAATATATAATAAATATAATAAATATTGAATTATATATTTAATATAAATAAAATAACAAAAGAATATCAGACAGACTACTATAACAATTTCACTAAAAAGGAATCAAGTTTTTGAAATAAACCACTTAAATTATAAATATTAGTGTAAATTATGAACTAAAACACAGCTTATACATTTGATTAATACAAATTGAAAAATTAAAGAAAAAAAGGGAATTCCATTAAAAGGATTGTCAAAAATGTGTATTGGGGATACTGATAGTATCAATGTACACTATTTCATCTTTCAATAATACGTCAGTTGTTCCTGTAATTCCACTTAAACTAAGTGTTTAATGACATCATCAAACAACTTAGTTTTAGTGGAATTGCAAGAATCCATTCTATAAAAATGAAATGGCTTAGTTTTAGTTTGTACTCTAAAGACATTGGTCTATGCAAGGAATATATAAAAAATATAAATAAAAACAGCAAAATTTACGTAAATTTTCAAAACTAAAAAAACGAAGTTACAGAGACATCGGGTATTCAGAGTGTTAAATGGACATTCCGCTCTTTTGTAAAAAAAAATTTATAATCAAAAACGTTGTAAATTATACATGAAAATATTTCTAAAGTATGCTATTTAAATCTATCTAGTCTTCTTGATCAAACGGAATTTGTTTTAAAAGGGTTAATTAAAAACGGAAATGAAATGAATTGAGTTTTATTACGTCCTGCACTAATGTGGACTAATGCCATGCAGGGTGCGATGATAGGACAGGACAGGACAGCGGCATCAGCCTGTTTTTTTTTCAATTTCTAACTGTCGAGGGATCTATAATTAAAAACGGCGGGTACTAATTATTATTTAAGCAGCTTGACATTATTAGTTGAAACCTTAAGGTACGCAGGAGAGATATTTCTCTACAATTAGGGGTTTATTTTACTCAAATCCGTAAGTAGTGTTCTGATAACTTCCAAACAGCATAACGAACTTTAGAAGTTTACGTAATCTTAAGTAAAGCTTTTAAATAGTTTCTGGATTTTTTCTAGTTGAAACATTAGGATACTTTAAAGATGGGCTCCATTATTTCGATTATGAAATGAAAATGCTATGAATAGAAAGTAGAGCTGTTCTAACGCTTGGAAAAATACCAGTTTGTCTCACATGACCTTAATTAATTCAAAATTAACTACATTAATAGAGAATTACCAGTAGAATTCCAATGAGTGACCGATCAAAAAAGGTTAAAAAGTACTTTTGCTTTATCCAAACTGTACATATATGGACATTTATGATTGGTTAAAACTCTTAATTTTATGCAATAAGAACATAATGATATGATTAAGAAAACATAATAATTCATAAGAAACACCAATTAATCAAATAGTTTGTTTAAAGGATACATTTCTCTATATTTTGGTGTACAGTTTTCACAAATTTGAGTAAACAAAATGTTCCACATATAAAAAGCGGAATGTCCATTTCAAGAGATTTTTTTATCTATTCATTACAAAAAATATTCAAAACTATGCACAAAAAAGTAGGCGATTCATTCCTTGGAGTTGTGGATTGTGTTTGAACATCAGACTCATCGGGATGCCAAGCTTTAACATTACTGTCAGCTCGACATATAAATTCTCTGTCACCAGTATTGTATATCGTACCATTACCATAGCATCTATTATGCATAATACAATGGTCAGGCTGAAATAAACCATTACTATAACATATAGCATCTATAATACAATAGTTGGACTGAAATAAACCATTACTATAACATATAGTTTCTATAATACAATAGTTAGACTGAAATAAACCATTACTATAACATATAGCATCTATAATACAATAGTTAGACTGATATAAACCATTACTATAACATATAGCATCTATAATACAATAGTTAGACTCAAACAAACCATTACTATAACATATAGTTTCTATAATA